ATGAAATGCTGACCAGATGAAGTCACCATCACTGCCCTGGGTTTATAGATTGCTGCATACCCCAAATCAATCACTCTCTCTTCTCTCTTTCTCTAAGCCATAGAGCCTGCTCTCAATCTGTTTTGTCTAAGACCATCATAAACATGCAAACAATGACACCATAAGATAGCTCGGGCCGGGCGAGGTGGCTCACACCTGTAATCCCAGCACTTTGGGAGGCTGAGGTGGGCAGATCACCTGAGGTCACGAGTTTCAGATCAACCTGGCCAACCAACATGGTGAAACCCCGTCTCTACTAAAAATACAAACTTAGGCAGGCATGGTGGTGGGCGCCTGTAATCTCAGCTACTCAGGAGGCTGAAGCAGGAGAATCTCTTGAACCTGGCAGGCGGAGGTTGCAGTGAGCTGAGATCACACCACTGCACTTCAGTCTGGATGACAGAGCAAGACTCCGTCTCAAAACAAATAAATAAGGTAACTGGGGCAGGAGGCTTCTAGCCGATTTCCCTACCATTCCTGCAGTAGTGGCTGCACCCATCCAGTCATTTCTGCTGCACCCCCAGCAACTCTGGGGCACTTTCTGAGTTCAAGTAGTTATAGGAGTCCTCACTGGGGATAATCCATACTTGTCTTGTTACAGTGTCCCAGAGGCAAGCAGGACAAGATCCCTGCAGAGGGCTCCTGCCTCTGTTATTCTCAGATCATAGCCCAAAGGCACTAAACACATTCCTCAAGATCCCTTACTCCAATTCTCAGGGACCAATTCCCCACCCAAACCAATCCTGCCAGGCCACGGGCAGAGCTGGCAGGAAGAACGGAGATCCAAATAAATGTCATAGCACTCATGGGTTATTGCCTCCTCTTCTTTTATAGGTAACTCCTGAACAGTTCACCTGAAATTAACCTGATACTATCAACTTTCCTGTATCTTAATATTAGAGGAATGGGCATATTTAAAGTGCAAAGTAATATAGGTAGGGGTGTGTGTGTGTGTGTGTGTGTGTGTGTGTGTGTGTGTGTGTTTTATCTATGGGCAAATAAGTTTAAAGCTTCATGGATTCAGGCAACCAAACCTGAGTCAATGTATCCATCTTCATGTCAGCTCTTTCAGGCTGAATAAACTGCAATAAAAGCAAATACCCTCACGAAGGCGTGACTATTTAAAAGGCACTTTAAAAGCTCCCTTTGCAAGCTGTAGTTCACTTCCTCCTTCCAGCATGCAGGGTTGATCTCCTTGGTTGAAAACATTCAAAATTAGTGGACAGGAGTGGGGATGTGGTTGGGGTTGGCCGTGTAAGTCACTTTTTGCTTTGCTGGATCAGAGCAGCGAGCACTGTAAGCAACAGAAAGCAGGTGCTTTAGGTGTCAGGTAACTCAGCTTAGCTCTGACTGCTGCTACCCAGGTTTCTACAGATGTCCCAGGAAGCCTCAGAATCAAGCTCCAAGAGGCTCAGATAGGACAATAACCTGCAATCTACATTGTTTGCAATTCCTTGGAATGCAGGTTACAGCCTGCTTTCCCTCTCATGCTTGCTTTTCCTTCTTTCCAAACCTGGAGGAATGTTTGCACCATGGAAGCCCAGAGGGAAGAGAGGCTGCTATGGGTCTTGCCCCAGCAGGACTCAGCCAGCATCCACAGTTGCTCAGCAGCAAGTGGTGCCCACAGCTCACTGCCCCAGATCCCATGGCAGCACGTGGACTAGGCGTGTGCTATGAAAAGCCCAGAGGGAGCCAGAAAGAAGCTGTGGCTTAGTCTACCTAAGGGAGACAGGCAAGGCTTCACACAGCAGGTTGCTCGCTGGTACTTGACAAGAAAAGTGTGCCAGGCTTGTAAGGGGGTGGGCTACAGTGAGGGGTGGGGTTAGCATCCATAAATGGGTCCTACTGAAGCAAGAGCCTGGATAGATCCTAGGTTTTCCCGTCTTCATCCTAACCAAGTGGTGAGAATCGATCCCCATTCTATTCCTAAGAATATGGCAGGATGGGCTATTTGTACCATCCCTCCCAGGGGCAGAATGAAAGATGCTGAGTAACAGTAACTTTTAAAGAGCCAAAGTTTCTAATTTTGGTGAAGTCCAATTGACTTTTGCTTTTAAAGTTCACACGGTTGGTGTCATTTGTAAGAAACCTGTGCCAAACACGAAGACACTAGAATCTTCTCCTGTTTTCTTCTAGGAGTGTTGTATTTTTAGCTCTTACATTTAAGCCTATGACCCATTAGGAATTAAACCTGATATATGGTGTGAAGAAGGGCTGGAGCTTTTAAAGAACATATCCAATTGTTCCAGGACAATTTGTTGAAAAAATTATGCTTCCCACATTGAATTGCCTTTCTACCTTTGCCAAAAACCAAGTGACCGTATGTGTGTAGTTCTATTTCCAGATTCCATTTGTCCATGTATCAATGACTACCTTTCCACCAATATCATACTATCCCGATTCCTGGAGCTTTGAGAGCTATGGAGCCACTAGAGCTGCCTTCTGGATCCATCGCTGAAGGGGCTTCACTGAACCACAGGCATGAAGCCACAAAAGATGAGCCCCCAAATCTGTGACCGCCCAAGGGGTCTGCCTTGACCCCTGCCTAGACAGAGCCCATTCATCAAGACAGGGGAATTGCAATAAAGAGTAATTCACACAGAGCCAGCTGTGTGGGAGACTGGAGTTTTATTACTCAAATCAGTCTCTTCCTATAGTTTTGAAATAAGCCTTGTGCGTAGTGTGACCACGCCAAATTTGTTATTTTTAAGTTGTTTTAGCTATTGCAGGTCCTATGCTGTTAAATACAATTTTTGAGACAGGGTCTTGCTGTGTCACCCAGGCTGGAGTGCAGTGACACAATCACTGCTTACTGCAGTCTTGACCTCTCGGCTCAAGCGATCCTCCCACCTCAGCCTCCTGAGTAGCTGGGACTGCAGACACATACCATCATGCCCAGCTAATTTTTGTATTTTTTTGTAAAGACAGGGATTTACCATGTTGCCCAGGCTGGTCTCAGACTCCTGGGCTCAAGTCATCCACCCACCTCAGCCTCCCAAAGTCCTGGGATTACAGGTGTGAGCCACTGCACCCTGCATACATTTTAAAACCAGATTTTTTCATGAACTCCTACTCCCCAAAACAGGCCATTTTGGGCTGGGTGCTGTGGTTGACACCTGTAATTCCAGCACTTTGGGAGGCCAAGGCAAGCATATCACTAGAGGCCAGGAGTTTTGAGACCAGCCTGGCCAACACAGCAAACCCTGTCTCTACTAAAAATACAAAAATTAGCTATGCATGGCGGCTCACGCCTGTAATCCCAGCACTTTGGGAGGCCGAGGCGGGTGGATCACTTGAGGCCAGGAGTTTGAGACCAGCCTGGCCAAGATGGCAAAGCTCCATCTCTACTAAAAATACAAAAATTAGCTGGGCTGGTGGTACGTGCCTGTAATCCCAGCTACTCAGGAGGCCAAGGCACAAGAGTTGCTTGAACCCAGGAGGCAGAGGTTGCAGCAAGCTACGATCCTGCCACTGCACTCCAGCCTGGGCAAGAGTGAGACCCTGTCTCAAAAAAAAAATTAAAAAATTTAAAAAAGTACAATCCTTTTTATGTAACTTGCTGGACTTGATTTGCTAAAACTCTAAGAATTCTTGTGTTGATGTTCATGAGGGATAATTGTCTACTTTTCTTTTCTGGCAATGTCTGATTTAGGGATTAAGGCAATTCTGGCCTTAGACGAAACTGAGTATTCTTTCCTCTTATATTTCCTGTAAGAGAGTGTGCAGAAATTATTTCCCTAAGTATGTGGCAACATTTACCACTAAAGCTGCCTATGCCTAGAGTTTTCTTTGTGGTAACACATCTTTCATAGAGCTAAGTAGGTTTTCTATTTCTTCCTGAGTAAACTAATTTGTATCTTTCAAGGCATCTGCATTCCTTACATCCAAATTATCAAATTACTAGAAGTTGTTCATAATAGTCTCATTGTTTTAGTATCTATAGAATCTGCAGTGAAGCTACCTAATTCCTGATATTGGTAATTTATCTTTTCTCCTGATCAATCTAAATAGGACTTTTCTTGAGCTTCTCAAAGAACCAGCTTTTGATTAATTAATTTTCTTTATTTTCTCGTCTGATTTCTGCTCTATTTGTATAATTTCCCCTTTTCTGTGTACACTTTTGATTTGCTCTTCTTTTTCTAATTTTTTAAAGTAGAAGTTTCTTAAAGTGGTCATTGATTTGAGACATTTTTTTCTAACACAGGCATTGAACCCTATAAATTCCCCTCAGTACTGCGTTGCTTGCATCATGGGATACAAAATCGACAGAAAAGTCAACTGTATTTCTATACACCAGCACCGGACAAGAAGAAACCACATATCAGAAAAACATTAGCATTTACAACAGCTCCAAGAAGATAAATAGTTGTAAATCTAAGAAAATATGTGTAGGATCTATATGCTGAAACTATAAACTGCTGAAGAAAGAAACTAAATGGGCAAATAAATGGACATATGTTCATGGATTAAAACACAATCACAAATATGTGAATTCTCCCCATCTATAGATAAACTTATCTATAGATTTAATGCAATTCTAATCGAACTCCCAGTAGGACTTTTTTTTTTTGAGACAGACTTTCGCTCTTATTGCCCAGGCTGGAGTACAATGGTGCAATCTTGGCTCAACCCAACCTCAGCCTCCCGGGTTCAAGTAATTCTCCTGCCTCAGCCTCCTGAGTAACTAGGATTACAGGCATGTGCCACCACGCCTGGCTAATTTTTTTTTTTTTTTTTAGTAGAGATGGGGTTTCTCCATGTTGATCATGCTGGTCTTGAACTCCCAACCTCAGGTGATCTGCCCACCCTGGCCTCCCAAAGTGCTGGAATTATAGGCGTGAGCCACCGCACCCAGCCCTAGCAGGATTTTTGTACCTAAGCTGATCACAAAATTTAAATGGGAAGGTAACATTTATATAATAGTCAAAATAATTTTAAGAGGAAAAATAAAATTGGAAGAATTATATTACCAGATTTTAATACTTAACTACAAAGCTATAGTCATCTTGACTTCTGTGATATTGACAATAAGGAGAGATGCACAGCTCAATGGGAGAAAATAAAACGTCTAGGATAGACCCACACCAATATGGCTAACTCCTGACAAAACACAAAAGAAATTCAGCAGAGAAAGGACAGTCTTTCCAACAAATGGTGCTGGAACAACTAGACATTCATCCATATGCTCCTAAACACAAACCTCATACTTTTAAAAAAGTTAACTCAAAATAGATCACAAATCTAAATGTAACATGTAAAATAAAACATTTAGAAGAAAACAGCAGAGAATTAGGACTTAGGACTAGACAATGGTTTCTTAGACAGGACAAAAAAACCACACTCTGTTTTTCAAAATTTCATTAATTGGACTTCATCAAATTAAAATTTTTGTTCTGTGAAAAACACTGGTAAGTAAACAAAAAGACAAGCCGGGCCAAGCATGGCAGCTCATGCCTACGATCTCAGCACTCTGGGAAGCCAAGGCAGAAGGATCACTTCAGGCCAGGATTTCGAGACCAGCCTGGCCAATGTAGCAAGATCCCATCTCTTAAAAAAAAAATTTTAAAAACAAGCTGCAGACTGGGAGAAAATACTGCAAAGCACTCATCTGACAATATATTTGTATCCATAATATGTAAAGATCCTTAAACCCAACAGTAATGTAACAATCCACTTTTAAGATAAAAGATTTGAAGACTCTTCACCAAGGATATACAGATGGCAGGAATGCACATGAAAAGATGTTCACCATCAGCCATCCGGGAAATACAAATTAAAGCCATGATGAGATATCAGTACACACCTACTAGAATGGCTAAAATAAGAAACTGACAATACCAAGTGAGAGTAAAGATGCAGACCAACCGAAATTACCTTCCTGCTGAATAACAACTTTTTCTTAAACACACTATATAAAGATGCTTTAAGTGATGTTTTGATATTGCAGTTTTGGACAGACACACTTGCCAATTTACTCAATACAAATGTCTAGTCAGAGAACATGTGGAAGACACTTGAATTGCACAAGATATCTGAATGAACCATAAAATGCTTTACTTGGCATGGGTAGAAACTTCTCGACTTCCATCTATTGTGTCCACTGTTTCCTCATTTTTAAAAGCATTCTTGGATTTAGGCTTTATTTTTGTCCTTAAGCAGAAGTTGGCAAACTTCTGTAAAAGTTCAAATAGTAAACATCTTCAGCTTTATTGGACATGGGCCTCTGCTGTACAACTTAGCTGCCCTTGGAACAGAGCAACTGGAGACAAGATAAAGAAATGGACATTTCTATTGCGTGCGTTCCAATAAAACTTTAAAGAACCCACCGCGGCTAGATTTGGCCATAGTCTGGCAACCCAGGGCTAGAGTAGCAGATGTATGCATTCAGGAGGCAGCAGTCTGCTCACAGGCGGAACCACAGCCAGCTTTCATTGGCGATAAGCATTTAATTAGCAGCTGCCTGGCTTTGCTGGGGAAACATCTCGCAGCTTGCAAGCACTGTCCCAAGGTGGTCTCGAGGGATACCTTTACCCCTTAGACCTCATGCTTCACCAGCACATGGATTTTCTCAAGTCCATTTGCCACCTGTGCGGCAAGGGTGGAGCCTGAGGAATGGACAGAGTAAGGGACTAAGTGGCAGGGCTGTGTCAAGACCCAGGTCTTTCCCAATGAACAAGCTCCCTTTTACAAACAGGGAGCACCCCAAAAAACAGGAAGGCGCCCCACCTGCCCCATCGTGGCAGTAACTGAAGTGTTCCTCGGCTTATCCAGGCAGTGGAAGCACCCACTGCAGTAGCATCTCCGAGGGTGGGAGCCTGCACCCCGTACTCCTGAGGCGCTGCAGGTGATGGAACAGAACCTCGCTCCTCCAGCCCACTGGTGGCCCAAGACACACAGCTACAGGGCCAGGGCTGAGGCTCCCAGTCTTCATGGTACCAACAGCAGGCTTGAAGGAATATACTTTATTAATCTACCTCCCAAACAGTAAAATGCCAAAGACTAAAATGCTAACATTCAGCTAAATTATAACAACTATTTACAGAGCACCGTCTGTGGGCCACGTGGGGCTGGGCCTGGTTTTCCCCAACCACCCACCCAGCCCATCCTCCAAACAGGCCTGGGGCCACCTGCCACCTGCAGCAGAAACACCCAGCAGAGAGGACATTTATATATACCCGGCCAAGCCCTCCACGATGGCATGCCAAGAAGGAAGGCACCAGACCAAGACAGAGACAGACAGAGAGACACAGACAGGAGGTGAGGTCGCCAAGAAGGCCACAGGCCAGACTCAGTGCTTCTTCAGGCTGTAGGCCAGGCTGCTGGGGACCCTGGCACCCTGCAGGGGCGGTGAGTTCCAGACAGCGGAGCTGGTGCGCTTATGATAGCGGGGCTTGCTCTTCTTGAAGATATCCTCCAAGTCCAGCGGGAGAATGGCTCCAAAGAGCTCCAGAAGATTCGGCGGGTGGTAGTACTGGTGAATGATGGCCTGGCTGAGCGGGGTGCCTGCAGGAGACCACAGACCAATTACTGCCTTGGGGCTCCCCATGAACCTCCTCATCCCCTGCCCCATACAGAGCCATGTCACCCTCTCCAACCTCCTTACAGAGTTCTGTCACCCTCTTCAGCCCTGCCCCAGCCTGTACCACCATCAAACCCAGAGAATGCTTGTTTCACATCCTTACTACTGTCCTCTGGCAGCTTAACCTGCACAAAGTCCTCGAGAGCTCACATGAGCCAGGCACCCCTTGAACCTGTCCCGCCCACCACCTGGGAGGCAGGTTCTTTATTCTCCCATTCAGCAGATCTGCCCAAAGGCATACAGCCAATCATGGCGAAGCCTGTGTTTGAAGACAAGCTTAGCTCCAGAGCTTCAGCATAGGTTGCCATCCTCGACCACCTTGGCCAGCTGCTTCTCATCGACCCCACAGGCCCTGGCGCAGTGCTGAGAGGGCCTCTGGGCAGTGGGTGTGGGCAGGCACAGTCCTGGCAACAGGGCTGAGGAAGACCCAGGGATCAGGAGGTCCGACATGCACCCAGCAATTGCTCAGCACTGCATGCGGCTCTAAGGGCCCACCGTGAGCTCAGTCGGGTCACTCTACATAGAACTCCTCAGCCGGGTCTTGTCATCACCCTCCTTTCACAGATGAGGAAACTGTTTAAGCTGTTCAAAGTCGGCTCTCATTAGGTGGCTTTGCAAGTGATCTGGCTCCTGCTTGCTGCCATCTCCCACATGACTTAATACTAGTGGTTAAGAGGCTGGTTACTGCAGGGTTCAGATGAGGTGAAACTCACAAAAACAAGTTTCTGTAGAGGGCCTACCAGCTATGGGACTCCAGGCCCTTCCCTCTGGGGCATCTGCGCCCCTCCCTGACTTCCAGCTTAGCAAACGCTGCAAGACACCTATGGTACCCACTGGCCGCATCCATTCCGGCAGCACCCAGTTCTAGCACCGACTCTGCTCACTCAAGATGGTCTTACGCTCAGGCCTGGGGCATTGCAGTCACACTCATCACCTTCTTGTTTCATGCTGGGACCTGTAAACTCCGGGTCAAATCCTACTCAAGTGACTTGTGCCCTCCTCAGGGCCTTTCCTGCCTGCCCAGCTGGCTGGAAGCCCCAGGCTCCAGCTTGGTGCTCTTCCCCATTCTAGCTCTGCCCCTGCCCCAGAAGGCTTACTTGGGTCCAAGTCTCTTCAGCCTTGCTTGATGGGACTCTAAGGAGGGGCCAAGTCCAAGTCAAAACACCCAGCAGCATGCTCAAAGCCAGTGCAATTTCATATATTTGTTGACAACAAAGGAACCCAACCTCATAGGTCTGGTCCTTGGATAAGCACAATGAACACGAGGTGCCCCATTCTCTCCCAGGCACATGCCTGTCCAAAGCTAGAGCCTTGAGCCGCCAGCTCAGGCACACAGCAGCCTTCCAACACCGAAGCAACCAACCCACTACTTCCAGGGCCCTCAAGGTGAAGACCGCTGAGGGCCTGAGTCTCCCAGGGAGCTCTGGGCTTTGCTCACCTCGGGCCCAGGTGGGGATGGGTTTCCGGGGATGGGCTTCATCATCGGTGGAGTCGTCGCTATTCAGATCCATCCCGTAGTTATCTGGGTTGATCTTGGGGGGGGCCCTGTGCCCTTGCGGAGTCATCTGATATGAGGTACAAGCTGGAGACTGGAAAAACAAAGGCGGCTGTCAGCTCCCTCCACTGCACTCCTCCTCTCACCCCCAAGGGGCTCTGGGGCCCTGCTCACCTCCTCCCATGTCACAGGAGACACAAAAGGTGCAGGGTCACCTTTTTAGGGCAGCGGTGGAGACAGAATCTTGCTATTGCCCAGGCTGGAGTGCAGTGGTGTGATCTCAAATCACTGCAACCTCCGCCTCCCAGGTTCAAGTGATTTTCATGTCTGAGCCTCCCCACATGGCTGGATTACAAGTGTGCACCGCCACACCCGGCTAATTTTTTATATGTTTAGTAGAGACGGGGTTTCACTATGTTGGCCAGGCTGGTCTCAAACTCCTGACCGCAAGTAATCTACCCACCTTGGCCTCCCAAAGTGGTGGGATTGCAGGCATGAACCACTGCACCCAGCCTACTTTTTAATTTTAAAAAGTCACAGAACACACACTACTCTATATCTCCTTTTTTCATGTTAAGGCGTATTACAAGCTTTCTTCCAGGTCAGCGTGTAGATTTCTTCCTGGGAACCACCCAGGAGACTCCAGGATTTGCAACTTAACCATCCATCATTGGCAGATACCATACTAACTTCCAAGTTCTCAACATCTTAACTTTGCTGCAATGAAACCCTTCCTCACACTATGTTTTGTTTGGTAACGGCACTGAAGTGAAAATAGATCAAATGGTCATCAAGAGGAGCCAGCTGAATTCCAGCACAATTAAGGTACACAGCCATCAAAACTAAGAAATTTACCTGTGTTGAAATAGACAGATGTCTACAATATACTAAGAGAAAAAAAAAACATGGGGTGGGAGGGGGCTGGAAATCAAGCTGCCAAATGTGCTCACTTAAAATATATATGTGTATGGGTGAAATAGAAAGAATGTCTGTGTGTGTTACAATGGTTACATAGATAAAAATCTAGAAGGATATACAATCGGCTTAGTAGAGTTTTCCTGAGGGCCCGTTTTTTTTTTTTTAAACTTTATACTCTTTTATAAAGTTTAGTTCCTTTTTATCTTCCCCCTCAACAAATTCTACTTTTAGAGTAACAAAGAACATCAAAAATAGTAAAAACAATTGGGCCAAGGGCATCAGTCCTCTTCCTTAGGGTCCTAACATAGCCTGTGCCTCCAGCTACCGGGAGGAGAATAATCAAAGCGGGCCCCTCCACCTGAGGGCTTCTCCACTGGGGCCCAGGCTGCACCTGCACGTCCACAGTCACGTTTAAGACCTTGCTGGCCCCGGCTGCCTCCTTGGCTTTCTTCTCTTGCTCCTCCTGCAGCTGCCGCTCAGCCAGACGCTGCTGCTCTTCCTGGAATACAGGTGGCAATGGGGTGTTAAGGAGTCTCCCCTTCCTTCCTCTCCTCCTCCCCTCCCTCCCTTCCCCCCATTCCCTCCGCCTCCCCTCCCTTCCTTCCCCTCCCCTTCTTTTCCTCTCTTTCCCCTCCCTTCTCCTCCCCTCCCTAGGCAGCCCCTGCCATTGGAGTCCAGACCAGCCCACAGCTCAGGGTAGACCCCAAGAGAGCCCGCAACCCAGCTCCCCTCACCTTCTTCTTCTCCTCCTCCAGTTCCCTCTGCTGTCGCTCCTTCTGCAACCACAGGGCCTTCTCCCGCTCCTGTTGCTCCCTGAGGACCCAGCAAGAGCCTGTTAGGACAGGATACGAAGCCCCAGCCCTAGCCCCGTTACCATCCCTGCTGGGAAAGCCAGGCCCAGCCAGCAGGACACACCTTAGAGGGCAGGATTGCAGAATGGGTACCTGGCTTAGAACCAAGGGCTGCATTTTGCTCCAGGGGCTAGAAAGGTGCACATCAGAGACTGCAGGGAACACAAGCTGGAGTCCGGCATTTGGCCCCCACTTTTCCGTGCAACTGAAGTCTCTGAGCCTCATCACACTTTTACACAATGGGGACCATAACACATTTCCTCCAGGGTCAACACTAGAATCAAATGGGATAATCCACAATCCCTTAATTATCCTAACCCTCCAGGGCAGACACAGGCTCCAAGCATGAACAGGGAAGGGGCTGTGGATAGGTTCTGGAGTCACCTCCACAGCACACTTGCTCGTGACTTTGAACAAGTCATTTAACCTCTCTGGACCTGTTTCCCCCTGTATGAAGTAGACCTGATGGATCCCATGCCCCGTGGGCTTCAACTGAGGACTAAACAAGGAAATAGATGTAAAGCATGTAGCTTGGGTACCCAACAAAGCTGCCGACACTACGACTATCACACCATCACCCTCAAAGCCCCTGCCCTGCCCAGCACCCTGCAATTCTAAAACCACATCAGCTGCCCCTTACACCTTCTTGCCTTCCCAGACTCTGCCCAGAGGACCAAGGTCAGCTTTGTGCCCATCAGGCAGCCCTGACACAGTGGAGCCCTCCTCCGGCTGTGACTCCTCGCTTCTCTGATAAACCTGTAGCCACACACAAAGATGGACACAGAAAAAAGTGCTGCCCAGTGTTTCCCAGGAATTGGAGGCGAGAGAGCGAACACCTACGGGGCCTGCGTGTCTCACACGCACATGGGCCTTTGTGCTCTACTTCCGTACGCACAGACACAGGATCCCGAGTATCTCCTGGCCAACACTGAGTGTGGCTTTTCCTCCTTGGCATCCCCATGACTCTTAGAACAACCAGGCACAGGGTAGGCCCTGGACAAATGCCTGTAAAACTAAACATGGAACTCCTGTCTCTTGTACAGAGACCACTGCATCTGCAGAGATGGAAGATCTCAGGGCTCCTGGGTCCACGGTTCCCAAGGCAGGGGAATGTCTGCAAATATCAGTGGGGGGCAATCTGAGTTATCGTCCTCACCAGGGGAGGTACATTCAGTGGGAACATGCCAAACAACCTGCAATGTACCACAAAGATCTCTCCTGCCCAAAATGCCCATGGTGGCCCTGCTGAGAGATACCAGCTCATCCTCTGAGCACCCCACCCCTGCCAGTTATAAAAGACACTAAAGAAGTCAGTACATGCAGCTGGAGGCAAAGCCAAGCCAAGCCCTGAGCAAGCCCATGCATCACTCCTTGAATCTCCCATAGTCAATGGACAGTGTGTTCAGGTGGGCCACTAGCTGCAGGCATCTGGGCTTGGTGCCAAGGACAGGGCCTGCAAACCTCCACGTGCAGGTGGGCCAAACCATCTCTCTTCCACACACACACGGAGGGCAGGCAGGCGGGCCAGCAGGCCCCTTACCTCTCGGCCTGGAGCCGCTCCTGTTCCCGCCGCCGCTCCTGCTCACGCTGCTCCTGCTCCCGCCGCTCCTGCTCCCGCCGCTCCTGCTCACGCCGCTCTCGCTCCCGCCGCTCCTGCTCACGCTGCTCTGCCAGCCGCTTAGCCTCGGCTGCCTTTCGCAGCCGCTCCTGCTCCTCTTCCTTCTTTTTCTGCAGCAGCTCTTGGTGCCGTCGCTCTTCCTCCTCCTGAAATGGAGAGCAAGGCCGGGTGCTGTGGCTGGGCCTGGGCCAGAAAGGGAGAACATGGCCCAGCTCGCCCGAAGCCCAGGTGCTCCTCATATCAGCCCCCACCACTTGATGGGGTTGCTGGCTTTATCTGCATAACACACTTAGAACAGTGCCCAGCACACAGGCAAGAATTGACCTTAGTAACTAGTCACACATAACCCCTAATGATGATTTGCCTTCTCTAGAGCCCTCAGACTGACTGGGAAGAGGCAAGCCCTTACTCTCAGACGGAACGGTCAGGGGATGGACCATAACAGCAATCGTCAAGAACACTTAGCAGGCATCAGACACTACTGACACTTCACAGACATTAACATGCTTAACCCTCACTGCTACTTGAAGATATGGAAGCAGAGAGGTCAAGCAGCCTGCACAAGGTCCCACAGCTAGTAAATGGCAGAGCTGAGATAGGCAGTCTGGCTCCAAGTACGAGCACTTAACCCTCAAACTACTGCTGCTACAGAAGATGAGAGGCAGGTTTTGGTCACCATCCTCCCCCTGGAGGCTTGGAGAAACCTCCTTCTTGGCATGAAGCAACACGAGTGCTCCGTCAATCTGACAAGGCGGGGTGCACCCAGTAGGGCCCCATGGTGCTGAGATAGTGCCCACCTCCTGCATGAGGCCCACCTGCGCTCGCACCTGCTGCAGCCACCTGAGCCTACGGGCCTCCTCCTCCTGCTTCCTGCGCGCCTCCACCTCCTCCATCTTCTTGGCCGCTGCCTTCTTCTTGGCCTTCTCCTCCGCCAGTCTTTCCTCCTTGGCCTGCAAAGCCCACCCACACGTGCCCATTGGAGCACCCACATTCAGTCCTGCAGAGTGGGGCCCGGAACTCTGCGTGACAGGCCCCGCCCACCCCTGCACACCTGGCTTGTTCCCACTGCCCAGGGAGAGGACCCCAGAAGCCGGTCCTGCTTGAGTGTCAGACCCGACTCACAAAGGGCTGCCAGGGAAACCCAGAGCCGGGAGCATCAGCCCCCCACTGGGCTCAGAGTGAACTCCAGGGTCCGTGGAGCAGACAGGAGACGGGCATAGGGGTACAGTGACAAATCTGCGATTTCCTGAGGGATCCAGTCTTGACCTTTGGGCCAAGTCTGAATTGCCTGGGCCGCCCTGTGTCCAGACTCGCACCTTCTCAGTCTTCTCGTCGATCTGAGCAAACTTCTGCTCAATCTGCTTCTTCTTCTCCTCCTGCATCTGCTCCACCCGCTCTCGGGCCTGCAGCACCTTGCGGAGGCGTTCCTCACGCTTCCTGCGGGGCACAGGACAGTCACGAGGAGCCCTGCCAAGGCTGGGGCAGGCCATGGTCCAGGGAGCCAGGCCACTTACAGCTTCACCTCCTCCAGCCGCCGCCGCTTGTCCTCCTCCACCTTCTGCCTGCGCAGCTGCTCAGCCTCCTCCTTCCGCCGAAGGTTCTCCAGGCGCTGCCGCTCCTTCTCCTGGGGTGGGGTGGAGCAAGGCAGATGGGGCATGAGCAAGGAAAACCCCCTTGCCCATGCCCGCAGTTCCCAGTAACCTGCAGCCACATGGGCGGCAGCATCAGAATGCTTCTTAGGCAGAGGTATCCCCAACGTGCCCCCATCAGCACCCAGGCCAAGGCCCACAGCTGCCATCTTTCCTCCCAGGAGCACTCAACTGCCTTACGAAAGCCCGAGCCACAGGGCCCTCAGCTGAGGCCTGTGCAGCACAAAAGTCACGCTCCAAATAGGATTTATGTGCCAACAACTACATAAACCGTGCACTGAAAAAGAGCTTGGAAGGGTGAGGAGCAGAAAGACAGCTCTCAAAGTCACAGTGAATGTTCTAGTAAGGGGTGGTGCAGACGCAAGGCGTAACTTCCTACTATTATGATTTATAACATCCATACTAGATACACATATTCTTTGGTTGGTGTATATCAGCTATTTCATAATAGTTGAAAAAAATAAAAGGAAATATTGCCAAATGCTAACAGAGGTTACTATAGTCTAGAGAGATGGATTAGGGATGGTATTAATTTTCGTTTATTTTCCAAACTTCCTGTGACATGGCTATGCTCCTTTTTTGCTTCTTTTCTTGAGACAGAATCTCCGTCACCCAGGCTGGAGTGCAATGGTGCGGTCTTGCCTCACTGCAACCCCCACCTCCTGGGTTCAAGCAATTTTCATGCCTCAGCCTCCCAAGTAGCTGGAACTGCAGGCACCCACCACCACGCCCAGCTAATTTTTGCATTTTTAGTAGAGGCAGGGTTTCACTATGTTGGCCAGGCTGGTCCTGAACTCCTGACCTCAAGGGAAGGGACTGCCCACCTCGGCCTCCCAAAGTGCTGGGATTACAGACATAAGCTACCACGCCAGGCTGGCTATTTTTTTTTCTTTTATTGAGATAGAGCTTCCCTCTTATTGCCCAGGCTGGAGTATAATGGCACAATCTCGGCTCATGGGCACCTCCACCACCCAGGTTCAAGTGATTCTCCTGCCTCAGCCTCCTGAGTAGCTAGGATTACAGGCATGTGTCACCATGCCCAGCTAATTTTATATTTTTAATAGAGACAAGGTTTCCCCATATTGGTCAGGCTTATCTAGGAACTCCTGACCTCAGGTGATCTGCCTGCCTCGGCCTCCCAAAGTGCTGGGATTATAGGTGTTAGCCACTGCACCTGGCCAACATTCATTTTTAAAGCAACTTTTTTTTTTTTTTGAGACGGAGTCTTGCTCTGTCATCCAAGCTAGACTGCAGTGGCACAATCTCAGCTCACTGTAACCTCCGCCTCCCAGGTTCAGGCAATTCTCTGCCTCAGTCTCCCAAGTAGCTGGGACTACACACCACCAAGCTTGGCTAAATTTTTTGTATTTTCAGTAGAGATGGGTTTTCACCATCTTGGGTAGATTGGTCTTAAACTCCTGACCTTGTGATCTGCCCACCTTGGCTTCCCAAAGTGCTGAGATTAAAGGCGTGAGCCACCATGCCCAGCCCTAAAGCAACTTTTAAAAAGTGCTCTCTGAAAAGCTGATTGATGCTGGCACACCCTCCTGGGCAGACACAGAAAGACCCAGGGGCACAGCCACAACAAAGCGCAGCCCACAGGGATGGGCAGAGGCTCTAAGCCCTCCCTGGCCAAGGACAAGGACAACTGGTGCTTTCCCCTTGAACAGTCTGGGGCTGGGTGGAGGCTGGGACCCAGACTGAAGCCCCACACCCATCACCCAACCTGGCTCCCAGCAGACTCCCACCTCTGGGCACAGTGTCCAATAGCTGCCCCCTCTCCCTGTAGTGGTTACTATAGATTTCTCCTCGGCTTCTGACCCCAAATGAAGGAGCACTCCCACCTAGAAATCTGGCTCCAAGATAATATTATCCTCCTAAAGATGGAGAGCAGGGGCCCAGTAACAGGTAAGATGGAGTAGACACAGACCACCTCTCTCCCACTGAACACAGCTACAAAACCTGGACAGAAGGCAAGGAGCGGCTGCTGGAGGCCTCTGAAAACTAAAGAGCTGGTAGTTGGGGAAGACTCGACTTGGAAGCAACAGCCAACCAGCAGTGAGTTCACCATTGTTCCTCCAGCCTAACTCAACACAACCTGAAACTCCAAAGGAGTCACTGGGGTGCAGACAGAAAGAACTCCAGGATAAGCCTTCTAGTCCTGACTCAGTAGTGAAAAAGGAGTATCTAACACTAAGAGAAGGCAGAAACCTCATTTCTGACTTTTCTCTTTTCTTCTTTCCCTTGTGCCCCAGCCCACAGGTAGTCCTACGGCAACCAGGGGCAGCAGCAGTTAAAGGAAGCTGCCAAGTCACAACTCAAGGGAGGAGCTGTGATCCCAGAAGTGGGGGCCAAACCCTGTTTGTGGTTCTTTCTCCGTCCCCCTGGCAGGTGGCCCTGGACACAGTCGCAGAAGCACATAAGGCAGAACAAGGCAACTCAAGCCCCAGCTTCCCGGCTGGAGGATGGAAAAGGGAGCCCCAGAGGAGCAGAAAGTGCTGGAGATCCGGAAAATGACACCACGGGTTACTGATGAGCGCCTAGGCTCAGCTCCAAGCTACAGATGCTAGGATCTGACCCTAATTATCACACCAAAAGCTGAGAACTAAATGAACAGACCACCTTCCAGGACCCAGGCTCACTGCTGACTGGCACACAGCTGGGAAAAGGCCAAATAGCACTGCCTTCTTCAAAATTGGGACTAACATTGGAACCTAAGTCCACAGAAGGCAGACAAGAACCTGCAGCCTAAACCTACCAGGTCAATTGCTGCTAAATTGCAATAATTCTCCATAGATTTAAACTAGACCCAGAGGCCCATACCATCATGTTCAGAATACAGTCCAAAATTACTCCGTAGGCCCCTGGTCTCCTAGCTATGGACCGTCCCCACCCATCAGACGCCCTGTGCAGGGACCTGGGATCCCCAGAGCAGGAAAGGGCAACTTCCTAGGTTTCTGTGTCACCCCAGAGGAAGGGAGGTGACCAGACCAAGGTCACTAAGACCTGCAGAGTTCTAATCGGTCTGGGTGGAGCATAGGTGGTAAGGTCACTGGAAAGTGTACTGTTGGTCACTCTGTCCAGCAAGAGGGGAACAGGCCTCCATGCAGGAGAAGCCAGTTCAGGGCCCGTGTGGTCAGCTGCTGGGAAGCCCCTCCCACCTGCCGAGGCCCTCAGCTGGAGGCAGCAGCCCTCCTGGCTGTCACAGCAGGGGACCCATCAGAAGGCTTGCAGGAACTAACGGAATGAGGCGGCTGGGGCCTTGGCCACTGGCACAGGGAGCTGGGATTTCGGGTGAAGCATGTCCCTGCACTCCAAGGGTCCTTGTTCATGGCCAGCCTGACTCAGCTCAGTTCTGAGGTGTCTGAGAAGAGAACAGCTTCTGTGACTTGTTTCTAGATGCTACCACTCACTGTTCTACTGACACCTAGTACAGCAACACCCAGCCTCCCACCTCGGTTCAGACTCACACTGGCCCTCCCCCATCACCGCACTGCCTCAAGGCTACTGCTCAGGTCCGTGAACCAATGAATCTCAGTGGCTCTGGGAACCAGAGACAACCTGTCTGTTCTCTTCAAAGACCCACAGACCCTGAGGGGGCCTGGTGCCTGGTGCTGGGGAAGAGGGCAGGAGGTGGCTGTGGGGAACACATCAAGCTGTAGCCCTGGTGAAAAGCTGCAGGCCACACTCCCGTGCTTCCTCCTAGGAGCAGTCAAGGGCAGAGAGGGCAGAGGAGGCTGAGGCCCAGAACTGCTGGGTGCCTCCAGCCAGTGCACCTCTCACGGCCCATTCTCTCCCTAAGGCTCTCCCGCTCACAATGTTAGTGCGTCTACGAGTGCTGTCAGCTACGCAGGAAAGGGGCTTAAGCAGGTAAGTGCTAGGTGGGGCTAGGTTACCAACAGGGAAAGCCTTTACTTACGACGAAGCTGCACTGTGGAAAGGAGACAAGGGAAAAGCCAAGAGTTAATGCCAGGCCAGGGGCATCCTGCAGGCAGGCCATGCACCCAGCTGTGCCAGCCAGCCTGCATGGGGCCTGCCCCTCTTGCCAGCAGCACCCCCACCGACTCTGTCACCCAACCCTCATCCCAATGGGGTAGGTGTCCACAAGGGCCCTTCACCTGAACCACCCCGATCCCCAGGGCTCACACTGAGCCGGCCGAGCCTCTGGGCTACAGTCGAGAGCCCACAAGGTCCGAACATTGCCCCCAGAGGACAAGGCAGTGGGTGGCCAGAGGCTTCAGCTGGCCCCTAACAGTGCCCAGCCACACTTGCCTCTGCCCAGGCTCATGCTACTCCCAGTATCTTAGGGGACAGACTGGACCTTCAGCCACATTGCCCAGCTCCCACCAAGCCTGACCTGAGCACAGGCCCCTAACCTTGGGGTCCACGCGCAGGGGGGTGTTGCGCTTGATGAAAGACTTCATGACGCTGCGGGGAGCTGAGGTCGGGGTCATGAGCATCTGGTTCCTCTGCACCGTGTGCAGAAAGGTCCGGAGGGGCCGTACCACCTGCAGACGAGGACCAGGGTCAGGAGTGGGCCGGCGGGGCAGGGTACCAACAGGGGTCAGGGCACCAGGGTAGGGCAGGCGCTCGTCTCACCTTGCTGGCCGGGCAGGGTGAGGAGGGGGTCTTGCTCCTGGGGGGCTGCAGCTCCTCATCCTCCAGGTGTTGGTCCTCGTCCAGCTCACTCACCGCCTGCTTGTAGCTGCGCTTCCTCCTGCCAAAGCATGGGTGATGGCATCACAGGGCAGCCCGCCACAGCCTAGCCACACCCCATCAAAGGTAACCCCGGTGAACAACACTGCACCTAGGCCACAGGCCTGTAGACTTTCTGAAAGAGACTAGAGAGCCTAACCGACCCTCTGCTGCCCACTCAGAGAAAGGTAGGTGGCCATTCCAAGGTCACATGGCCAGGAGGCCACACTAAGACGGGGTTAACAATCGGGTCGCCCTATTCCCAGGGTGGTGCTCATCCACAGCATGGAGCTGCCTCTTTGGTTAAGTCAGAGCACCAGACCACACCCCAGCAGAGAGGCTATGAGCCCCTCGGCACACGTCCACCTTCACTAAGCAAGGACACAAGGCCACGTCCTCTGGGGCCCTCAGAACAGAGATGCCACAGGCCCCTTCCCTGATGCAAACCTGGCACTCTGCGGTGGCTCTCTGGGTCCATCTGCTTGGTCCATCTTGGCCTCTGTGAAGACAGCAATTTCAGCAAGACTGCAGAAATGATGGCGGCAGCAGGGTGGGAATGGGGGCATAGGAGGTAGGGGTCCCTGGGCAGCAGCCTTGGCAGTGGGGCAACGTTCCTTTCCTGGCAGCTCCATGGTGGCCAAACACAGACCTATCAGCTTTAACCCTGACTAGCCTTGAGGAATCTACAGATGCCAAAGCCTGGCTACCCCCAGCTCATGAACCCCTGCCCGCAAGTGCCTGGCTCTGTGGTAGGCAGGACAGGATGGTCCTGTCGAGAGAGCAGCCCCAGCCATACCCCACCCACCTCTGACACAAGAACGGTGTGTGGACGCCTTATAGAAGCAGGAGCTCCAAGCCCCTCGCACTGCTTCGAAATCCCACCCTCCAGGGCTGTGCAGCTGGTGTGGCCGTGACAGGAGCAGGGAGCAGCTCCTGCTGTGGGGTCCACATGTGGGGTATAGGGTCAGTATGTTTTATCTCACTGCTAGGAGAAAGTGCCCCTTACTCCAAAAGTTTCTCACAGCAGCCCTGGGGGCTGTGGGGCTGGCATGATCGTTGTGACCACATCGCGAAGAAGGGCAGGCCATGTTCAAGATCTCACAGCTACAGTACTCTTCCCACCAGAAAGAAGCACCCTTCTCAGGGAGACGTGAGTGAGACCCTGGCACCCTCCAAAGCCTACTGCTCTCCAGCCCTCTTTAGACAGGGATGGACCTACAAAGGTCAGAATGGAGCTAGCAGCAGAGGGAAAGGAAGAGGCCAGGGGGGTTCCAATCCCCAGCCCACAGCTCTTCCCGCTGCCCCCTGGAGTCGAGCTCAAGGCCTTGGCCTGGCCACTTCGTATCCACACCCCAACACAGGCCCTTCCCCTGCTTCCTGTCCCAACCAGCCACAGCCCCCCGTGCCGCACTCAGTGACAGCTCCAGCCCAATGGTTGGAGGTGAAACCTCAAAGGGGATCTGGGAACCCCCAGGTTTCATTTCTCTTTAGCCCACTGGCCCAGAAAATGAGGCTTCCTTTCCCTGGAGAGAAGGTCAGGCAGAGGCCGCCAAGGCCCGCTGTGGCTCTGGGCACTGCACACGGCAGGCAGGGCTGGAAGACTCACCTTGCTGCCCCGCAGAGGGTGTTTCCTGGTTGCTGGCTGCAAGCTTCGGGTTGGGTGTACCATTGGCAATCTTGGTGTCATCGCGGGGCCACGAGTTATTCCCGTTGTTCTCAGGGACCTGCGGAAAGAACGAAGGCTTTAGGAGTCTCAACCTGGAACCCAAGGCCCAGGATGCTGCAGGGCAGAGCGGGAGCCCCAGAGGCGAGTCCTCCCTTCCCCGGGCGGCCGCCTTACCTCTGGCTCAGCTGCCACCACAGGCTCAGCCTCCTCGGGAGGCTCCCTCTGCTCAGGACTGAAAACAGATGGGGGACTCTGTGGGGACTGCCCAGCCAGTCCAAACCCTCCTGCACAGGGAGTTCCTCCCCTGCTCCAGGGATGGGGGACCCAAGATGTCAACACAAGGTGCCCCGGCCAGGACCATCAACCCACAGCCCCCTGCGGGATGGGAGGATGGCAGCTCCAGGCAATGGATGTCAGATTCAGAATGTGGCTTCATCCCCCCGCCATCCCACTGCGGGGCTGACGGGATGTGAGCCCCCTCCTCAGCTCTGCCTCCCCACCTTAGGCCCAGGTGAGCTGTATCTCCTTTGTGGTCTGTTCTCCATTCACCATGGGGCTAACAAGGCCAGCAGGTCCACCCAGTCACCCTGTTCCCCATGCCAAGAACAAACCCTTGCTCTGCAGCAAGGAGGGAGGGGCTAGTTTTCATGATGGCAGGACATGGTCTCCAAGAAAAGGAGTCTGTGTCCTGGCCCAAAGCAGCATTGGGTGTGAACCTGGAGCACCCCCATCCCACCCCACCCAGTTTGAATGTAGCTCTTCCTGGCAGGCAGCTCCACCTTACCCACAACCTCTGGAGCTCATGCCCCAGGGTCAGGTCTGCAGGGCAACCAGCACCACTGATGGGCACTGCAGGAAGACTGGGCAGCCAACACCCACGTCACTCACTGCCTCGTCTGACAGGGGACAGGGCAGCCCGTGGGCAGTCAGGGCTCAGCAGGGAAGGCTCATCCCCAGGAATTGCTTCCAGCCCTGGCACTCACCTTGGTTCCCTGCCCAGGGGTGCCCTGCCCACCTGCAAAGCCCCGGAACTGAACTCACCCAACTTTCTGGGGCACCTCAACATTCAGGAGCCTCTCCAGGTAACTGTGACCTGAGGGGGAAAAGAGACGCACAAACAATCTCATCAGAAACCACATAGGTCCCATTCTAAGGGGTCCAGGGAACCAGGTCCAGCAGGGGCCTGGCCACTGCTCCCACCACTAGCCACAGAGACCCTGCTGTGCCCAGGCCCCTTCCCTCAGCACTCATCCCAGTGTCTCCATCCGAGCTGCTGGCTTCATGTCCCCTGCTGCTTCCCAGATGGGATTCCCATGCCCATCTGAGAGCATGGCTGGGCATTTTCACCAGGCTGGGAATATCTGGAGAAGAGGAACAATGTCTGTTGCAGCTCCAGGCCCCCAACTCCCAGCATGGGGCCTAACACAAAGCGGCTTATTCTGTCAACAAATATTCATCAAGTGCCTACAGTGTACTGGGACCTGGGCCAGGCCCCGGGGACCCAATGGTGAGCAAAACAGAACCACTATCTAGTCTTGGTAACAATCATCAAATAGTTCTATCAACAACATTGACACGGGGAATAATGGAACAGAGCAGAGGAATTTTTTTTTCTTTTTTATGATACGGAGTCTCACTCTGTTGCCCAGGCTGGAGTACAGTGGAACGATCTTGGCTCACTGCAACCACCACCTCCCGGGTTCAAGCGATTTCCAGTTAATTTTTGTATTTTTAGTAGAGACGGGGTTTTACCATGTTGGCCAGGCTGGTCTCAAACTCCTGACCTCAAGTGATCCCCCTGTCTCGGCCTCTCAAAGGCCTGGGATTACAGGCGTGAACCACCACGCCTGGCCCAGAACAGAGAATGTTAAAAGCCTATGACAAGGGGACCTGAGCTGGCCTGGAGGATCCGCTGTGGAACGGGAGTTTATAGGCAAAGGAGGAGGACATGCAGGCCAGTGGTCTCTGACCCCTGGACGTCCTTGAGACCCTTGGGGTATCCATGAGGTCATAGCTATTTTCATCTTGATGCTAAAATGTTACTTTCCCCTTTCACTGTGTTGACATTTGGCCTGATGGCACAAAAGCAATGAGGATGAAGCTGCCGAAGCCTCAGCCCCTGTGAAGGCCAGAGCATCAAACACTATCCTCAGACCACACATTCACGGGAGGAACAGATGTCCAGTTTCACTGGACAATGACCTTGATGAAGACGTAAAAGGTACTAATTTTTTTTGAGACAAAATCTCACTCTGTCGCTCAGGCTGAATGCAGTTGAGCAATCGCAGCTCACCGCAACCTCCACCTCCTGGGTTCAAGCAATTCTTGGACCTCAGTCTCCCAAGTAGCTGGAATTACAGGCATGTACCACCACAGCCAGCTAATTTTTTGTATTTTTAGTAGAGATGGGGTTTTGCTATGTTGGCCAGGCTGGTCTCAAGCGATCCACCTGGCTCAGCCTCCCAAAGTGCTGGGATTACAGCTGTGGGCCACCGCACCTGCAAAAGTACTAATTTTACTAAATCTAAATTCAAGTACATACTATTCTCCTCTTCTGTGTGCTGAAGTGGGAAGTGTGCAGAGAGCCTGTTGCTGCAAACCCATCTCTCGGTGAAAAGTGCTTGTCTCTTAAGCTGCCAGCTGCATTAGCCACTTTTTCACCTGGAACACTATTATTAATTAAAAGAACAACTGACAGACAACGGTTATTCAAACTTGGGTATCTGGAAGACATTTTCTTACAAGTCAATGAAGTGAATCCATCACAAAAATAAAACATGTGCTGACAGTAATTTAAAAACTGAGCCAAAAACATCCAAAAGTAGAATTCTGAAAAGTGGGTATCTACCACCAGCAGTGTCACAGCACCCTAGTACCTAAGGACTTTTCTGATGAGGTCAGAAACAGATGTGCTTTTTTAGGATATTATATAATGAAGGGTGTCAACACTTCGAAGACGTGCATAACTTAGTGAAACAATATTTTCCAAATGACGAGTGTTATGAGGTTATGAAATCACACACAGCTAAAAGACCCATTCAAAGTGCAGCTGGACATGGTGGCTCATGCCTGTAATCCCAGCACTTTGAGAGGCAGAGGAGGACGGATCATTTGAGGTCAGGAGTTTGAGACCAGCCTGGCCAATATGGTGGAACTCCATCTCCACTAAAAATACAAAAATTAGTCGGGTATTGGTGGGCACCTGTAATCTCAGTTACTCGGGAGGCTGAGGCAGGAGAATCACTTGAACCGGGAGGCAGAGGTTGCAGTGAGCCGAGATCAAGCCATTACACCCTAGCCTGGGCAACAGAGCAAGACTCCGTCTCAAAAAGAAAAAAAAAAAAGTGCACGGTAGATCCATGTGGCATCAACGACGTGGTTTCAGATTCCCTATTACAACAAACCTTTAAGAACTATCACTTCTTGTACTGGTCTTAATAACAAAGAATATGCACAATTATCTGAAAAAGCTATTAAGATACTCCTCCCTTTCCCAACTATACGTCTGTGTGAGACCAGATATTCTTCAACTACTTTAACCCAAACGGCGTTCAACAGACCAAACTCAGAATGTGGCTTCTTTAAAGCCACCCAATAAAGAGATTTGCAAAGCGCAGAATAATGCCAGTCTCCTCAGTAAATGTTTGCTTTGGAAAAGTTATTTTTTCATAAAAAGTCTTACTGTAAACAGGTGTTGGGCTTGGTATTTGCATTTTATAATGTTAAAATATTAAACAACATTTTAAAATCTTTAAGGTACTAAATATTTATATTAAAATATTAATTCATATTTAAAATACTTTTAAACTCCAGTTTCAATTTCTAATACAATAACTATCAGTAGATACGACCTCGTAATCAAAAGCTTTTTTTTTAAACAGGGTCTTGCTCTGTCACCCAGGCTGGAGTGCAGTGGCACAATCTCAGCTCATTGAGCCTTGACCTCCTGGGTTCAAGCAATCCTCCCACCTCAGCCTCCTGAGTAGCTGGCACTACAGGCACAAGCCACCATACCTGGCTAATTTTTTCCCTTTTTGTAGAGACAGGGTTTGGCCATGTTATCCTGGCTGTCAAAAGTTTTTTGAGGCTGAGACTCAATCATTTTTAAAACAGGAAGCCCAGGACCCTCACCCTCAGCACTCACCCTGGCATCCTCACCATGGCTGCTAGCTTCATGTCCAGGCTTTTTGCTAGCTGGGAGCATGCCTGTTCCCAGTGCCACTGGTCTAGGGAGGAGGAGGGCCAAGGCCACAAGGCAGGAAAAAGGAGGCTCTTTTGGGGAACGGAGAAAAGGTAGCTGAGCTGGCGCATCCTGAGCCACGGGAGTGTGGCCAGCGGTCAGGCTGGGAGGCAGCCGGCAGGAGACTGGAATGAACAGGGTCTCAGAAAAAGAGGGAAGACAACAGGCCAGGCACAGGGAAGGGAAGCCGGGACCCTTCCTGGGTGTAGTAGCCAGGTTTGGGGAGGTGGCGGGAGCAGCTGCGGGGCCAGGCTGACAGTCACGGGTGGTGATCACCCCCATTTGAGGGGTCTATACGCAGAGGATACGTCCCCCTCATCTCATGCCATCTCAGCCCAGCTCACGTGCTCCCTGATGAAGACGCCCACATGACTGCATGGCTATCCCACCAGCACGGGACTTCTCTGGAATGTTAAGTGTCATTTGCATGCCATTCAGGCCTCAGAGCTGGTAGGGAAGTGGCCTAAGTCCTGGCAGAGGGACGGAAGGGCTGTTCTCCAGTGTAGAGGTGGCTGGGAGCCCCAAGGAGGAGCCCTGAGGCAGCAGGCCTGTCCCTCCCTAGCCACTCAGAACTGCTGCCCGACGGTCCCCTCTGGCAGGTGTGCGCCAGGCCAGGAGGCAGGGGATTCCTGCCTACGCCCAGCCGTTCCATGCCCCAGGGCCCCACACTGGCTTCCAGAGGCCCCCCGCGCCACCCTGACTGTTGGCTTTTTTTCCTGTCTCAGATTCCCATTCCTCTGCTTCAGGTGTTTCTTTCCCCTCCCGAATTTAATTTTTGGGAAATTAAATTTGTTAATTTCCCAATAATTAATGAAATGCACTCAAATCCTTGTGATCAAGGGCTGTTCCTGGGGAAAACCCAAACCAAGACCTCACGTCTGAGCTGCCCAAGATCTGCTCCCCCGAGAGCCTGGTGTGGGGAAGAGCCTGGGGAAGCCTCCTCCCTGTCACCGCCCCACACCCTGACACTATTGCAGCTCCATCGATATGGGTCAGTCTTGTCACACCTAAACTGAGAGTCAACCGTTGGTCAGTTTTATCATTTCTTTGGCTTAAATAAGATGCACTGAGCATCCGCTATACCCAAGCACAAAGATGAGTTCTCTATTCACATTCAAGACAAGTGTTATCACCACTTCACAGAGACAGAAACTGAGGTGGAGAGAAGGGGTGTGCCCAAGGTCACCCAGGGTCTGTGACTCCAGATCCCAGATCCTGTGTCCTTCTCTCTCTCCTCCTCCCACCTTAAGAAGAGAGATGACACTGGGCTTGGAGTCAGACAGACCTGGGTCACATGCACCAGTCAAATCAAAAGCCCATTCATGGGCAGGGAAACACTAGATGGAGAGGGAAGAGTGACGGATGGGCATGAGAGCTGCAGATCCGAGTGTCTGCTCCAAAGGTCTCCAGAGAGTCTCTGCAACCCTGCCTGGCCCTCCCTCTACAGGTCCAGGCTCACCTGCCCCCTTGGGCCCCTTCCCAGGATCAGATCCAGGCCTGAGAAAATCTCCAAAACAGATCAGAACCATTTAGGTCCTTCTGAGAATCCAGAAATAGACAGTGTGCCAGACTGCACATCTGTGCACGCCCCAGACCGTGTCTCCCCAAACCCTGGAGCAGGCCCTTCCCCAGGCAGTGTGACTCAGGCCGAGAGAAAGCTGCCAAGGTGAGATGCCCTCCCCTGCCTGACAGGCCCTGCCCTAGGGCCTTGCACAAAGCCTCTTCTGCAAGCACCTGCCTTTCCGGACAGAATGAAACATACAGTGCTCAAGCCTCAGCTTCCCGATTTACAGACTCCATGGCCTCGTGAAGCCTCAGTTTCCTTCTCTGTAAAGTGAAAAAATCCTAACAAGCTAACAGTGCTGCTGCAAGGACCAAATGAGATAACCTTTCCTTTTATAAATTTTAAAGTGTCAGGCAGATGCTAGCTACTATTTCATATGTGTAAAGATAAAACCTGGGCTGGGTACAGTGGCTCACGCCTGTAATCCCAGCACCTTGGGAGGCTGAGGCAGGTGGATCACTTGAGGTCAGGAGTTCGAAACCAGCCTGGCCAACATGGTGAAAGCCCGTCTCTACTAAAAAAACAAAAATTAGCCAGGCATAGCAGCAGGCACTTGTAATCCCTGCTACTCGAGGCTGAGGCAGGAGAATTGCTTGAACCTGAGATGCAGAGGTTGCAGTGAGCCGAGATCGTGCCATTGTACTCCAGCCTGGGCAACAGAGCAAGACTCTGTCTCAAAAATAAATAAATAAATAAATAAACAAATCCTGGCCTATCCTTGTCACCAATCTGCTGCTTTGCCCATCCTCTGCCTGCATCCTGACGGCAGCCTCCTACCTGGTCTCCCTGCCTCCCTCCCTTCCCCATCGTCAGGCTACTTCTTTTGCTTCAGTGGGGTCAAATTCAAGCTCCTGTGTGACACATGAGCCCCAGACACCCATCACTTGCTGCTTTGGGCATCAGGTCCTTGTACAAGCTGTTCCCTCTGCCAGGAATGCATATGCCTGCATTTTTCCCACTCAGCCATAGCACAGCCATCCTTCAGAACCCTCCCAGCTCAGACCTCACCTCCTCATGCAGCCAGCCTGCCCCTTCTGACACCCGCTCCAGTGGGGGATGGCCCCCTAAGCTGAGATCTGAGAGAGCAGCTAACGTCACCAAGCCCTTCCTATAAGCCAGGAACCCTTCTAAACTCCCTGTATGGGGTAACCAAAGAAAACCTCACAATGACTGTTTGAAGTGATGCTATTAGCCCCAGTTGACAGGCAAGGAATGGAGGCCCACGAAGTTGCCAGGACCTGCCCAAGGCTGCAGGCTGGGTGAATGGCTGAGTTGGCACTCAGACAAAGGCGGGCCAGCTCCAGAGTCAGCTTGGTGACCCCTCCTGCCTCCCATCAGATGCCCAGTCATCCATTCTCCCAGAAGGAGCCTGCTGCCGTGAGAATTCCCTCCTCCAGACCAAACACAGTGTCGTCAATGGGTGGTGCACAAATATGGTGAATTTCAGCAGCCTCTGCAGCACAGGGATGGGAGGAATGAGCTGGGCCCGGGGAAGAGGCCCAGGCTCCGGGCTTACCACGGCCACATGGTGGCCAACCTCCCTGAATCTCAGCTTCCTCACTTGTAAAGCAAGTACGCTGGGTCAGATTTGTACCATCCAATGTGGCAGCCACTAGCTACATGTAATTATTTAATTCTAAATTAATTATATGCAATACAATTTAAAATTTAGTTTATCAATCAGACTAGCCACGTTTTGAGGACACGATAGCCAGATGAGGCCAGCTAGCAGCCACCGCCCAGGACAGCCCAGATGCGGAACGTCCAACTCACTGCAGAAAGTCCTCTGGACAGCTCCTCACTAGATAGTCCCTCAGAAACCCTCCATCTGAGCCTGACACCAAGGACCACCAGCCACACCCCACCACTGCCAAGCCCCGAGACTCACAGATGATGCGGCCAGAGGGAGCCGGCTCTTCGGCAGTCTTCTTGGCAAGCCTTCTGCTTGCCCTGCAGACGCTTTCCTGTTTGGCCACCGGCCTGCAGACGCTTTCCTGTTTGGCTACCGGAGAGTACTTTTGGGCTGAGACTTGGGGACCTGGGGAGGATGGGGCGATCAGGCTGCGCCGCACCGGCCGAGAGTTGGCGTGGGAGCCCGTGGGTGTGGAGAAATTATCCGGCAGGATGGGAGCCAGCACCCGCTCCTGCCACTGAGAGTCTGGAGAGGCCGGCGAGTCCCGTGGGCCAGGGGAGACCTGTGCAATCCTGAGCTTGGACACAGACCGCCCCGTCCCGACCCCTCGACCCTTGGGGTCCTGGGGTGTAGTCATCAGGGAGCTCATTGTGACAGACTCCAGTATCCTGGCCTTTGACTTCTTGGGTGTTGATTCCTCATCCGATGTCAGGATGCCCTGGGAGGCTGGAGCTGTGGCTGCGGCTGAAGCTAGAGTTGGAGACAGAGCATGAGGCAGAGGCTGGGCAGACATGAGCTGGGTGAGGTGCTGCTCAGCATTCTGGCGCTCGCTGTTGCCAATCTCCACCATGGGCACGAGCTGGCACTGGGCACGGCTATCCTCGGGCTTCTTGGTCAGCATCGTGGGAGACTCAGGGGTGGGCGAAGGTGCAGCCAATGTCAAGGTGGCCGCAGCCGCTGCAGCTGCAGCACGAGTTACACGCCGTAGGACGGAGCCATTCTCCCCCACCAGTGTGGCCAGCTTCTCCACACTGTCCTTGCTGCGGAGACGACGGGAGCTCAGCTGGCTGCTCCGAGACTTTCTGCGGGATAACCTGGCAGAGGCAGCAGGGCAGAGGCTGATGGACAGAAGGACAGGGTGGCACCCCAGTCTCCCCAAGAGCCACCAGCTTGGATGGAGCATGATGAGAGAATCTGAAGGCAAGAGATCTGGGTTGCAGCCCAGACTCTGCGACCTCTAGCCATGAGGCCATTCTTGCCTGAGCCTCAGTCTCGTAACTGTAAACTGGGGATCATGCCACAGTCCTCACAGAACTGGCTATGAAGATTATATTCATCCAAACCTCCGCCTGACTTAAGTCACACAGAACCGAGCCCCCCACTGAAAGCCTTACACATGCTCTCCCTTAATCCAAAGCACACCCCTGAGAGGTAGGGACCACTATCCCCGTCTTAGGCGTGAGGAATGGGGGCTCAGAGAAGCAGAAATTCAATTCAAAGCCATAACGTTCTGCTAAGGGCAGAGCTGAGGTTCACACCCAGGCCTAACCCCTAGACCCAGCCTCTTTCCCTAGCACTCTGCAGCCCCAGTCATTCCTGAGGGGGACCAAAACAAGCATGACAATGTGGGGGCGGGGACAAGCTGGGTGGGCCGCACCCCTGGTCACTCTCGCCTAACAGAAGGTGGGCTTCTCTTTCCCATCCTCCAGGGCCCAGATCAAACACCACCACTCCCAACACACAGCCACAGCGCTGGACTCCGGGTCTTGGGTCATGCCATAGTTCCCAATGGCATCCCAACCCCTCTCAGCATGGCCCACACAGTACCCGCAGTGGTACCCACCACCCCTCCTACAGGCTGCTACTTCCAAATCAACACCTTCGGAATGGAACTCTTCCCAGATGGCACCAAGCCTCCGCAGAGCCCAGCGCCCAGCCCACGCTCCCCCTGCCCTTCCTACCTTTTCCTGATGGGGTCCCTGTTTTCATCCTGAACATAAGAAATCCGTCTCTTCTTCCGTCGGTTCTTCTGAGAAGGTGTTTTGGGCATCAGCTCTGGCTCTTTGCTGAATTCTCTGTTTGGTACAAGAAGGGTATCACTCGAGGGTGCCTGGGAGCCGCTGGTCCCATCCCCCACCAAGCCTGGCCCCTGCCCATTTCTGACAGTGACAGGTCAAGCTGGGGTGACCAGCACCAACCGAGCTGTCCAAGGCCATGTGCAAGTCACCTGTGGGCACTCAGGGCTTCCTCCCAGACACAGCAGGGAAGCAAGCTCTCAGGTGCACGCCCAGAGCCCCACACCCTGAGAGGCCCGGTCACCAACTATGGTGAACAGGCAAGGGACTTTGGCCTCTCCTGCTGCCTCTTCCCACGACACTAGATCGGGCCCCTAGCACACTGCACAGAGTATACAGCAGGCAGCCCTGACAGGCCGTCTGTTTTGCGAGGCAGGCAGGCAAGAGGGCCTGTTATATCCCCAAGACCACGGCAGCCCAGACAGACCCTGGTGTCCCCAGCCCCTGACTGGGCCCCGGCCTTCACCTGGTGAACATGCGCATGGCCTCCTCCTGGATCTCCTCAAGCCACACCAAGTCCTTATTGTCCATGGTGCAGAGAAACTCCATGAGCTTCTGGTCACATAGCTCCAGCAGGTGAATGGGCCCTGGGGCTGTTGTCCCCATGGTGGCTCTGTCTGGTGAAGGCAGTGACAAGAGGCACAAGTTAGGGGCTCACGGTAGGGGTCTGGGGCTTTCTCCAAGCTGCAATATCCACCCCACCCACAACCACCACGAACACCCAGTGCCCAAACCAGTGCCCCTCTCTGCTCACAGCCACTCCCCAGAGCTGCAGAATTCCAAACACTAATCCCCTAGCCTCGTTTCTATGAAGAAGGGCCCTTCTACTTACACTCTTTAAATACCTCCCTGTCCCCACCCCACACGGCATGACTGATCCCAAAAGTCCATACTTCCCAGCCAATTCTGACATTGACGGTCCTCCTTACAAATAGCCTTTTCTGGGCTTACGATGACAGGGCACTGCCATCTGCCTTCCTGGCCACCCCAGTGCTCCTCGCTCCCTGCCCAAACACAGTCCAGCTGTGGCTCTTTGATAGGCACTCCTCTTACTGCTCACAGTTAAGTGAGGTAGACACAGCCACTGTGCACTACATGCACGCTGACTCCAGACATCAGGCCAAAGAACATCAAACCCAACTGCCTCTTTAAGAGGCCAGTGGACAGAACGGGTTCTGTGTTCCAAAGGAATGAGTGAGAAAGTAGGGATCCAGAGATATGCCCTCAAAGGGGCCTCCCACACCCCTCTCCCTTGAGCTGAAATGCCCTCCAAATGGAGCGTAAATAGAACATGAAGGGAACAGTAAGCAGTGTCTTGCTTTTAAGAAATTTTGCCAGCCAGGCGCAGTGGCTCACACCTGTAATCCCAGCACTTTGAGAGGCCAAGGTGGGCGGATCATGAGGTCAAGAGATCGAGACCATCCTGGCCAACATAGTGAAACCCCGCCTCAATTAAAAATACAAAAAAATTAGCCGGCCATGGTGGCGTGCACCTGTAGTCCCAACTACTTGGGAGGCTGAGGCAGGAGAATTGCTTGAAGCTGGGAGGCAGAGGTTGCAGTGAGCTGAGATCACGCCACTGCACTCCAGCCTGGTGCCTTGCAAAAGAGTGAGATTCTGTTTCAAAAAAAGAAAAAAAAAAAAAGAAATCCTGCCTACCAGCATTGAGCAAGGGAAAACACAAAAACAGTTTTTTCTCACTTTCTTATAAAACTTAGCAGCTCTGGTATCCTCCTTAAAGCTTGTTAACAGGCCGGGCGTGGTGGCTCACACCTGTAATCCCAACACTTTGGTAGGCCAAGGCAGGTGGATCACTTGAGGTCAGGAGTTCAGGCCCAGCCTGGCCAACATGGCAAAACCCTGTCTCTACTAAAATTACAAAAAAATTAGCCAGGCATGGTGGTGTGCACCTGTAATCCCAGCTACTTGGGAGGCTGAGGCAAAAGAATTGCTTGAACCCGGGAAGCAGTGGTTGTAGTGAGCCAAGATCGCACCTTTGCACTCCAGCCTGGGCGTCACAGCAAGACTCTGTCTCAAAAAAAAAAAAAAAACAAAAAACTCCATAACCATTACAAAAACCTCAAGCAAGGAAGAAGTATAGTCAGCCCCCCATACCTGTAAGTCCCACATCCATAGATGCAACCAACCACCAGTGGAAAATATTTGAAAAAAAGCTGCACCTGTACTGAACACGTATAGACTCTTTCCCCTTGTCATTATCCCCTAATAACACAGTATAACAACTATTTGCATAGCTTTTACATCGTATTAGGTGTTATAAGTAATGTGGAGATACAAAGTATATAGGAGCATGTGTGCAGGTTATATGCAAAAACTATGTCATTTTATTTCAGGGGTTTGAACAGCTATGAATCTTGGTATCCAGAGGAGGTCCTGAAACCAATCCCTTGAAGGGTACCAAGAGACAACCATATTCCAACTCTACACTTAGAAATAAACATCCTACAGGGCCGGGTATGGTGACTCACACCTGTAATCCTAGCACTTTGGGGAGGATGAGGCAGGTGGACTCCCTTAGGTCAGGAGTTTGAGACCAGCCTGGCCAATGTGGCGAAAGCCTGTATCTACTAAAAATACAAAAATTAGCTAGGTGTGTTGGCCCGCGCCTGTAATCCCAGCTACTCAAGAGGCTGAGGCAGGAGAATCACTTGTACCGGGGCAGGGGGGAGGGTGGTGTTGTTGCAGTGAGCTGAGATCGCAACATTGCACTCCAGCCTGGGCAACAAGAGCAAAACTCTGTCTCAAGAAAAAAAAAAAAAAAGAAGAAAATAAATAAACATCCTACAGGTTCTCACCCCTACCACACCCAAGGGGCACCAAATAAACTTAATCTGCACAGGTTAGAACTGGCCAACACATGTCTAAAGCCCCTGCTCCTAGACGCCAACGGCAGCAACAATCGGGTCAGGGCCAAATGGGAGGATCGTACAGGCTTTGGGCTGAAAGCTCTGAGGCCAGCCAGTCATGGGCAAGGCCTTTTCACTGCCATCCCTCTTGCTTCCCCTAGTCCTTCTGCACCCAGACTACAGTCCTGGCAAAGTGCAGGGCCTCAGGCCAGAAAAGACAAAACTTTAAGGAAGCCAAAGGTTTGCAAAGAAAAGCAAAAACTGGCTAACTTTTTAAAAGCTATTTGTTCAAATGGGCAACGTGGATGAGAGCTTCTTTCACAAAGTCCATGAAAGCATTTAGGCTTCTTTCAGTGGGGAAGTTTGCTTTTAAGCAGACCTAGCGCAGCCATTTAAAAAGAGTTACAGTATGTTAAAACAGAGGTGGCCCTGAAAAAGGAGTCAGTGTACCAAGAATTAGCCTCCTGGAAAAGCAGCAAAAACCTCTTCTTCAGCCCATGTAAGCACCTGCACACAAAGAGCATCCAACGCCCACCAAGGGAGACACTCTCCAGTCTTCCTCTCCAACACTTCTTCCACACCATACACCAGACTAGAGGCCCCATCGCCCTCTATGACTCCTGTCCTTCTGAGGGTGCTGTAAGTTGGGCGCCTACCATACCTCTGAGCAGAAAGCTCATACAGCTGCTCTCATTTACTGAGTCCTACTCCATGCCCGAGTCAGACATCATCTCATTTAATTCTCACCACAACCTTGAAGATATGCATGGGCAGATGAGGAAACTGAGACAAAGAGAAGTTAAGTCAAAGTCAGCCGGTAAATCAAGAGCATAGCCTGGATTTAAACTGTGCCCTTAACCACTGGCTATTCTGCCTTCTAGATATCAACCTCTGAAAGCAGGCGCCCAGTCTTGGCTCTAGGCAGCCTGGCGAGCCACCCATGTTAGCTGAACGGGGCTGAACCGCTGAAAGCGAATAGGCTTGGGGAGTGACAAGGGGCGGCTCAGCCCCAGGAAATGGTCAGTTTAAAATGCTGCTCAGCTGGGGGCGGGGGCGTTGAGAGAGGGGTTTAACTGTACAGAAACGCCATCTGGCATCATTCCACCAAACAACACAGTCGGTTTCGGGCTTCCTGCGCCTGCAAATCAACAATAATCATCGCAGGCACAAAACAAAGTGCTAGGCAGCTGGGAGCGCTATGCTCTAGGAAGCTGGGGGCCTAGGTGGAAGGGCTGGGGAGCATCTCGGGCTCGAGAACCAAGGCAGGCGACCTCGCCACTTGCAAGAAGTGACCCTCATATGCCCAGGCAGCCAGGGGCGGGGATAGGGAGTTACGACTCTGGTCGGGAGTCGGCAGGGACGGAGGAAAGGACCGGGGGAAAAAATCGCGAACCACCTCCCAATCCCCACGCCCACGCGCACTCACTCGACTGCGCCGCGTCCCCTGAAAGCTGCTGCGATCCAAGTCTGGTGGTCTCCCTAGCTTGAAGACCCGCTTGCCCAGACCCGCTCGGCTCCTGGACTTCGGGGCTCACCGCACGGAAGCAACAACCGGGAGGCGCAGCGCGGGCGAAATCTATGATTTTCAAAACTGAAGGCTCAGCCAATCCTCGGCAAGTTTGTCTGGGCGGTTGCAAAACTTTAAGCCAATCAAGTAACAGGAAGTACCAATCTGCCCTTCTATTGGCTGTATCGACTGGCAATCTGCGGGACTAAGAGGCGGAGAAAGGAAGCGAAAGACTTTAAGCCTCCTCAGCTTCCGGGAGCTCTTGTCGCAGCCAAAAGAGGAAGTAAACCTCGGCCCAGAAGGAGCGGTCAAGCGGGGAACTACAAGTCCCGGCGTTCACTGCGAAGGCCACGAGGGCCTTCCTTTCTTCTCCCAAGCACTGTGACAGTCTTCTAATCTCTGCTGGTGGGTTTTTTTTTTCCTCATAAAAACATATACATATATACTTACATTGCTGAAAGAGCAGCTTTTTAATGTAACAAGTGATCTAGGTTAAGAAGTAATAGGTTTCTCTTCCTATGAGAAAAACGTTCGTAAAAATAGAAAACAAACAGAATCACAGAGGGAATAAAATCTCATTGTACTGAAACATATACAAATTAAGGCTATCTTGATATATAAACAATTTCGAAATTATGATGGAATAGTTCCACCAAATCATTTACATATAAGAATTCATGCCATCTGTTAAAGAATCAGTAGTGGGGCTCAATTCAAACAATATAATGCATCCTTACATTCAACTTACTACACTTAGCAGCTGTGAGAGTAACTGTAACCTCGCTTCCTGAAATAGCATGAGTAATGTTAAAAATCCAAACCCATCAGAGGGTAGGGTATTACAGTATTTGGCTCATGAGTCGAAAAGCCTAATCAGTTATTTTAATTTAATCTTTCTAACTAGAACAAGATCCAAACATGAGAAGCTTTCTCTTTTTTTTTTTTTTTTGTTTTTGTTTTTGTTTTGCTACCATTTGCCAACTCACTGAGCAAAACATGGGAAGTTTTCTTATTTTTCTTTGCTTTTGTAGTTTTAATGCCCTTTTGGCTTTCTGAGCAAGCTGAATACATCTGATGAATACTACCACTGGACAAAGAATCTAAACATTAAGATTTTTACTAAATCAAGGTTTCGAGTTGGCACAATGTTTTTACTAAGTCATGTTTCAGTTACTTCATCTTTCCAATGTCAGGGGAGAAGAAAAGACAACCTAGTATGTCCTATAAAGAATCTCTGCTCTTTTGAGAAGTAAAAACAAAATGCCTTGTGAATTGCAACGGAGTTCGTGTTTATCCAGAGCTTTCTGTCATCTCTTGGGTGATAGAATCCTTGGTCACCTACCCTGCTACTGGATGTTTCTTTTCTTTCTTTTTTTCTTTCTTTATTATTACTTTTTAAATAGAGATGGGGTTTCACCATCTTGGCCAGGCTGGTCTCGAACTCCTGACCTCAGGTGATCTGCCCACCTCGGCCTCCCAAAGTGCTGGGATTACAGGCGTGAGCCACTGTGCCAGTCTGGACGTTACTTGAGAGCAGTGGTTCTCATCCAGTGGCGATTTTGCCCCGCCCCTGCCCCCGGCATTTGGCAGTGTATGAATTTATTTGGGTTTGGGAGAAGGGGCTAGTGGTATTCAGTGGGTAAAGGCCAGCAATGCTGCTAAACACCATCTAGTGCATAGGACAGTCCCCACAGCAAAGAATTACCTGGCCCCAGATACCAGAATTGCTGCTGTTGAGAACCTGCTTTAGACAAAGTCACTTTACTCTGTGAGTCAACGTTGCCATTACCTGTGAAATAAGGCAGTTAAATCTTGAAGAGATTTATACATCCACAATCAGCTAACAGCAGATAGTTTACCCTGTTCCTAGGTCATCTGCAGTATTTTTCCTCTCCCGTTCTTCCCTCTCTTTATCAATTCTGTTTTTGCCTTTGTTATTTTACTTAATTTACCAACTGACTCCATCATATATGAGTAAATTGTGACCAAATTAACTAAACATTTCTGAATTATTCTTTGAAGAATAAATAATTGGAAATCAGCTGAATCATAAAAGGATATGTTACCTAACCGTTAATCATTTGCTCTATTAATTCTGACATGAATATCTCAAATTGTTTATTTGACTGTTACTGCAGAGAGTTTTCTACCCTGTGCAATGCACTTTAGTAAGTTTCCAAGGGGATTAAGGTCCATCTTCCTCAAGAGAGGGAAAGGAAAACTAGCTGATGGCAGATACATTCTCAAGCAGATAAAAGAAGTGCAAGCTGGGCGCGGTGGCTCACACCTGTAATCCCAGCACTTTGGGAGGCCAAGGCGGGCAGATCACTCAAGGTCAGAAGTTCAAGACCAGCCTAGCCAACATGGTGAAACCCCATCGCTACTGAAAATACAACAACAAAAAATTAGCCGAGCATGGTGGCACGCGCCTATAAGCCCAGCTACTTGGGAGGTTGAGGCAGGAGAATTGGTTGTACCTGGGAGGTGAGAGTTGCCGTGAGCTGAGATCGCATCATTGTACTCCAGCCTGGGCAACAAGAGCGAAACTCTGTCTCAAAAAAAAAAAAAGAAAAAGTGCATACAGGACACATCTAAGAGAATGCAAAATGGACTCCCTTAAAACTCTCCTTTTATTTTCCCCAAAGTCTTCTTTTTACCCCAGTGGGGGAGGTATTTCCTGATGTGCAGACCAGTGGACTGGATGCAGCACCCTCCTTGTACAGAAGGACTCTAGGGTAAAAGCTGCAAAGTTTCACCACTCCATCTCTAAAAACAAAAACAAATAAACAAACAAAACCCTGTGTACAACATATAGCAGCATTGCACTCCCACCTTTCGGTTAGTTAAGTTGAACTCAGACTGTATTTATTTATTTTTTTTTGAGACGGAGTTTCACTCTTGTTACCCAGGCTGGAGTGCAATGGCCCGATCTCGGCTCACCGAAACCTCCGCCTCCTGGGTTCAGGCAATTCTCCTGCCTCAGCCTCCTGAGTAGCTGGGATTACAGGCACACGCCACCATGCTCAGCTGAATTTTTGTATTTTTAGTAGAGACGGGGTTTCACCATGTTGACCAGGATGGTCTCGATCTCTTGACCTCGTGATCCACCCGCCTCGGCCTCCCAAAGTGCTGGGATTACAGGCGTGAGCCACCGCGCCCGGCTCAGACTGTATTTAAGAGGTGACTGGGTCATGATGGGGCTTTAGCCCTGTGAAGGGATTAATCCATTCGTATATTCATGGATCAATGGGTTAATGAATTCATGGGTTGCCATGGGAGTAGGACTGGTGTTTTATAAGAGAAAGAGAGATTTGAGCTATTGTGCTAACCCCCTTGCCATGTGATACCCTGTGCCGCCTTGGGACTCTGCAGATAGTCCCCACCAGCAAGAAGGCCTCACCAGACTCTGCAGATAGTCCCCACCAGCAAGAAGGCCCTTGACCTTGGACTCCTCAGCCTCTATAACAGCAAGAAATAAATTCCCTTTCTTTATAAATTACCCTCTTTCAGGTATTCTGTCATGAGCAACAGAAAAGAGGCTAAGACACTAATGCATTTCTTTTCCTAGTTTAGATTTAAACCAGGGGCCAACAAATTAGAGCCCTTAGGTCAAATCTGGCCTACGATGTTTTTGTACAGCCCAGAGGCGAGAATGGTTTTCACATTTTTCAATGGTTGAAAAAAAAAAATCAAAACAAGAATATTTTGTGACAGATGAAAACTCTAAGCATCCATAAATAAAGTTTTATTGGAACTCAGCCAATATTAGACAATGCTGTACTATCTATGGCTGCTTTTGAATAGGTTCAGTAAAGACCATTTCTGGTACTCACCATTTAGAACTGCTGCTTGGTGCACTACAAATTGCAATGGCACAGTTATAATTCAACAGCATTTCAAGAGCCACACGTATTTCCATACCATAGGTTTTTTGTTGTTGTTTATTTTTATTTTTTTCCAAGACAGAGTCTTGCTCTGTCACCCAGGCTGGAGTGCAGTGGCACGATCTTGGCTCACTGCAACCTCTGCTTCCTGGGTTCAAGCGATTCTCTTGCCTCAGCCTCCCGATTATAGGCACTCTACACCACGCCCAGCCAATTTTTGTATTTTTAGTAGAGATTGGGGCTTTATCATGTTGGGCAGGCTGATCTTGAACTCCTGACCTCGTGATCCACTCACCTCAGCCTCCCAAAGTGCTGGGACTACAGGCATGAGCCACTGCGCCCAGCCATACCACAGTACTTTTAAACTACTAGTGCAAACGCATCAGCCCAAACAAAACAAAGGTGGATTTAGAATGTTGTGCTATTAAGAAACAGTGGAGTGTGGATTATTTTATCTAATTAGATGGCAAAGCAGTGTGTTTATTAGGCAATGATAGTAATCTGTGCTCAAAGACTATGATAAATAGCAGCATTACCAGACTAAGCACTTATCATGATATTCCCAAATTACAGGAAAGCGATGTTAAAAAACTTACACAATTTAAAACATTTTATTTTCTCACAGCAGAATTTCTTCACAGAAATAAACAATGAAAATTTGACTACAACCAAAGTAAGTTTTCTAGTGCCTCACTTGTTAACCAAGCAAGGAAAACTGCTTACTGAAGCCGATTTGATTAAATTGTGTTTTATTGAAGCAGCCAAAGTAATGTGTCCAGAGAAAATAAACTCTTAGCCTAAGCCAGTTCAAGATGGCTCACACCTGTAATTCCAGCACTTTGGAAGGTCAAGGCGGGAGGATCACCTGAAGTCAGGAGTTTGAGACCAGTCTGGACAACAAAGTGAGACCCCCATCTCTACAAAAAATAAAACTGATCATGGCAAAATTAGCTGAGCATGGAGGCATACATCTATAGTCCCAGCAACATGAGAGGCTTAGACAGGAGGATCACTTGAGCCCAGGAGTTGGAGGTTGTGGTCAGCTATGATCACGCCACTGCACTCCAGCCTTGGTGACAAAGCAAGAAGTTGCCTCTAAAAAAACAATTAAACTAGCCTTTCGGTGAGAACAGTTGGTCAGAGAGCTGAGGACATTGGGAGTAATATCAATAGTTGTGGTGGGCCAAAGAAAAGCCTTCAAAAATATATATTCATGTCAAATTAATCCACTTCAAATC